TCTTCTTGTTAACATGCCTGTAGAAACCTTTCTTGTTATCCTTCACAGCCCTTGCGAGTTGATGTTCCATTTGTACTTTCGCCTTCCTGATAACTGCCCTGCATTCTCAAGCTATGCATTTATACCCCTCCCTAGTCATCTGTCCAAGTTTCCACTTCTTGTAAGCTCCTTTTGTGTGCTTAAATTCACCAAGGATTTCCCCGGTAAGCCAATCCAGTCTTCTACCATATTTGCTTTTCTTGCTACGCATTGGAATGGTTTCTTTCTGTTCCTTCAATAAAGTTTCTTTAAAATACTGCCAGCTCTCCTGGGCTCCTTTCCCCTTCATGTTAGCATCCGAGGGGATTCTGCCCATAAGGTCTCTGAGAGAGTCGAAGTCTGCTTTTCTGAAGTTCAAGGTGTGTATTTTACTACTCTCTTTTCTTCCTTTGGTCAGGATCCTGAAATCTACCATCTCATGATCACTGCTTCCCAGGTTGTCACCCACCTCTACTTCCCCTATTAGTTACTCCCTGTTTGTGAGCAAGCCAGTACTGAGCCGGGCTGCTGGCCAGCCTGCTAAAAATTATGGTGGGCGGGGACAGGGATGTGTGTAGTCTATAGCATAACCGATAAGCAAAAGCTTATCGGTTAATCGGCTACACTATTACATCCCTAACTTCAATCAAGTGTCAACAACATCGAATTGACTATTATCTGGTTTATCATCCATTCTTTGCCAGGAAGAAAGGTCTGAGTGGGAGCTATACCTATTGACAGCAACATCACTGGAGGTTTCTGTCCTCCAGACCTTCTGTCACCTGAATCCCAGCTAGAGATGATCTTCAAAGAGAAAACAGAACTATAAGAAATGAGGAGAGACGGTCCAAAACACTTTTCCTTTTCTATTTGCTCACAGCATCAGAAACAATTGAAGGAACACTGAACTGGAGTGGAAGGCAGGTTGGCTGAAAGGATTCTAGCCTGCAAGACTGCAAAAGCATGTGGTGAGAGACATTTTACTTTGAATTCACTTAGCCTGTTACGTTAATTAGCTGTGTTTTGCCTCTTGCATTTTGTAATAAATTCTGACTTTTATGCCTCGTGACTTGTAATCACTTAAAATCGTTATTTTTGTGGTTATTAAGTTTGTTTTATTATTTTATCTAAACCAGCATGTTTGGATATTTTGAGAGGAATCTCCACTTGAGATACAGGGTTTGTGCATATCACTTTCTATTTATGAAATGATGGACTTTATAAGAGCTTGAATTGTCCAGTGGAGTGCTGGGCTATACGAGATGTATATTTGGGGCGGGGGGGGGAAGGGGTGGCAGAGTCTGGGACTGGAGACTTTGTTGGTGTTCTTCTGCAGTGTAATTCGTAAGTGACCATCTATAACACTTATACTGTATAGCTGGAAGCAAGCTACATTGCTGGAGGTTTTTTTATGAACAGATCAGAATGGTTGTTCTCACAGTGAAGGCAGCGTGAAAGGTTCAAAAACTGAGCTGGACACAGATAATGGGTAATGTCACATTCATTCCTATTTCATATGTTGCAGGTCAAAGTCAAAATGAAAAGACAAAAAGCAATTCAACGTTTCCACTCACAGACCTCAAAAAAATAACCATGATGAAGAATATACCAAGAATCAGGAATGTACCAACATATCATCTGAAGGTTCAATTGCTGAACTGTATCTACATTTGAACAGCTCAAAGCACAAATACAACTAACTACCTGATGAAGAAACAGCATCTCCACAACCTGAAGGCAGTTCCTGATGTTTGTGGGTCAAACTTTTACTACTTATTGAAGTTACAAAAGGGGCCATTGGTGCACCTCTTGCAAAACAGCTTGTGAAGAAGGAAATCTTCCCAGGCTAGTCAGTAACACCAAGAAGCCTGGTTCCCTGATCAATCAGCAAAGCTAATGCTGACAAACTAAGCGACAGGGCTGCAAAACACCCAGGCTCTGCACAGCACCAGCCTGCAGAAAGCCGGAGAGCTTCGCAGGCAGCGTTGTCACTTGTGTTACCAGGACAATAAAGTCCAACAGAAAATATGTCTCGGTCCTGTAAGGCTAGTCAGTAACACCAAGAAGCCTGGTTCCCTGATCAATCAGCAAAGCTAATGCTGACAAACTAAGCGACAGGGCTGCAAAACACCCAGGCTCTGCACAGCACCAGCCTGCAGAAAGCCGGAGAGCTTCGCAGGCAGCGTTGTCACTTGTGTTACCAGGACAATAAAGTCCAACAGAAAATATGTCTCGGTCCTGTAGAA